CGGAACCCTTAGCTGTGAGCTTAGCAATGCCAGGCTTAGTAGCAGGAATAGAATTGGGCTAAGGAGGTACCACATCATTCTCCAAAGGAATCGGGTCAGCAATTGGAGTAGAATCGACCTCAGAAATCAATGGAACAGTAATTTCAGAAACCCTAGGAACTGCTGTCTCTGGAATTCGAGGAACTGATCCAAAATTGAGGACAGGATTACCTTCAGCCATCTTAGAATCACCTGTCGAAGCACAACCTGCATTAAGATCAGACGAGGAAGCTCTGAGATCCAATGGAACAGTAGAACGGGGTACTGTTTTAATCAATCGGACATGGAAATCCTCAAGGGCTTTCAGCTCAGCTCTAGTAATCTTCTCGGTTGAGAATCGACTCAAATGAGAAGGAGGAGTGACAAGTTCATCAGGGTCCTCATCAACTTCTGGAATCGAAGCAGAACCAGAAAATTTAGACACATTCAACCGATTAACACCATCATTCAATAGAGATAAAGAAGATTTGGAAGGATGATTCAAGTTATTTGAGGGTTTAGGAGTAGATTGCTTTTTCTTCTTCGCCATTAAGACTCAACTAAGCTGAAGAAAACCAGCAAATTCAAATCGCCATGGGAGGAAAAAGAAGAGAAAAAAGTCAACGCAAAGTCAAACCCTTAAAAATTATGTGTTTGAACTAAGTTTATTCTCACCATATTTATATACAAGTGTTATATTATGATTAACACATAGCATTCTGTGATTTAATTAATTTAAATATAAAATAGGCCGACGCGTTTTGTGTGTGGCTAGCCATATCATGTGGTTGCTTGTAAAAGAACAAAGTAACCCTCGAATAACCCTGTAATACTAATCAAGTAGACCTTATAACATTGATCGAAATACCTCTATAACATTGACAAAGTAACCCATGTAAAAGTGACCTAGTAGCTCCTACAACACTAATGAAGTAAGTTCCATGATGGTTGGTCACGCCGTGTAGCCAACCACATATAAAAATTAGTGATAAGCATTAAGTATGGTAATTGGAGTATAAAAAAGTTGTAAAGGAAAAAAAGTAGGGTTAATAGTTTATTGAAAAGAATTAATGAATACGACAGAAAATAATAATTATGTAGAAGAAGGTTTGAATCAAAACTATGAAAGAAGAGAAATCATATAACTAATATATAAAGCTAGCCAGGCGACGAGACAACGACACTTGGTGTTTCACCTCTTTGCCAAGTGTCGTGCCACGTAGGATAGAGTTGTTGGCAAAAATCCTGTTGATTCCAATAACAAAAAATAGAGAAGATGAAAGTGAAAATACTTGATTGAAGATCTCAAACTAACAGTCGCGCCGTGGAACAATAATCCACTGCCTTAGAAGCGAAATACGCCACCACCGGTACAGGTTTCCTGATGACGCACGCCCCCCAAGTTTAACGCAACTCTCCCCATAATTCGTGCACCCGAACCCGAAGAGTGGAATTGCTCAAGAACTGTTCAGATCTCAAAGGGTAGGTTTTTGTTTATGTGTTTAGGGTTCAATAATATCAAAATTATGAATACAGGAAAGGTAATGCTCGTATTTATATGTGTCCCGAAATTAGGAAACAAATAAACAAAGCGACCTAAGAAAAAAAAAGGCGGGCCCGATCGGGCGCGAGATGAAGTTTTCCAGACCTGGTGTCGCGCCCGGTCGGGCGAACCACCGCCCGATCGGGGCGATCTAGAAAACCCACCACAGGCGAGCAATCGAGCGAGAGCCGCCCGATCAGGCTCGTCAAAACTCGACTCCGTTGCCCGGTCGGGCGCGAGAGCCCTCCTATTTTCCTTAGCCAACTCCGCCCGGTCGGGCGAACCACAGCCCGATCGGGCGCGAGAATTTTTTTGCATTACCATTTCCAACTAGAGTTATATAGAATTCAATTTGTAGGATAAAAAAAATTAGTACATAATTATAAATAATCAAATTTGGATAGAATTTTAGAATATATTTTTCATTTATATTATTATTAGTCATTACATGTCTATTACATAGTTTAAATCGTCACAAAAATACATCAATTCCTAACTAATTTTGTATCAATGATATATTTATAAAAATTACATATAGATTAAAATTTATCTTAATTTTATATAAACAACCCGGGCATTGCACGGACACAAAACTAGTATAATAATAAGAATATATGGAGTAAATTTTTACCAAAAAAAAGTGCAACATCCAAAAATTAACGGCTGCACTTAAAGAAGTGTAACTAGAGCTTGCAAAGTTGACATACGGACACAAATCAGACACAAAAATATTGGATTTTTGTTAAGGGTTTTCGAGACATCCAATCAAACGGGACAGTACGATAAGACATTTTTACTTAAATAGATTATATTAGTGTTGAATTTCCCTTTAATCGATTTTTGAAACTTAAGTGTTTTGAAAATATATCATAATTTCCTGTGAAAAAGAAAGAGAAAAACATCCTAATTCAATCATGAGAATTGAAGAGCACAAATGAAACTGCCTCCACCTACACAATATCACCTCCCACTCTCCATTTGTCATATCACATGGCGGAAGCAATAATATTACCGATTGCAAAATCCATACTTGATAAGATCGCTTCCTTTACCGGTGATCTTGTCATTTCCTCTGTTTCCCGAGATTTAAAAGCGGCCAAGTCAGCTAAGAAAGATCTCAACAAGATAGCTGATAAGCTCACTGCTATTTGTGTTGTCCTCCACGATGCTGAAAACAAGCAATACTCGAACGAAGCAATGAAAGTTTGGCTAAGAGATCTCAAGCGTGTTGTTTATGATATTGATGATCTCTTGGATGAAGTTGCCTTTGACGCTTTACAACGTAGTGCCAACGAAGGTCATTTTCTCAAACCCCTTCATTTTCTCATTTCATGTGAGTCACAAAATACAAGATCTCTATGAGCAACTAGAGCACATTGTAGCTAAGAAAAAAGATTTCGGTTTGACTGAAAATCTAGTTGAGTACTCAACTGTTGACATCAAGAATCCTTTATATGGAAGTTCATACATCCATGTACCTAATATCATTGGAAGGGATGATGCTAAGCATGACATTATAAGAATATTGACAAATGTCAATGATGTTAGTCAGCTATCAATGCTTCCTATTGTGGGGATGGGTGGGATCGGAAAAACAACATTAGCTAAGTTAGTGTATCATGATGTCCAACACTTTGATCTAAAATTGTGGGTATGTGTTTCAGACAAGTTTCACATACCCAAGATCATAGAGGACATTCTGCATAACGGTGGAGTCGGGAGTGGTAACAACACATCCAATCAACAGTTGGATGATCAATTAATAAATAAACTCCATTGTTTGTTAAGTGGGAAGAAGTTCTTGCTTGTGTTGGATGATATTAGGGTAGAAGACTTTGCAATGTGGAATGAGCTAAAGAACGTGCTAGCTGTTGGTAATCCACGCTTGCGCGACCCCCTTGAGAGTGGTGGGAAAATACTTGCACCAGGTCGCTTCGGACCTGGGGCAAAGATGCATGTGCCCCTCGTAAGAAGCAATATGGTCCTTCAGATCCGAAGTTCCATCGTATGTAATGTGCGACGGAATTTTAACCGTCGGCACGTGCTCTTCCAGAATCCATTGCTCGAATGGAGAACTGGTAGGAAGCATCACGGCCTTGCCCTTATTCCTGGCCGAAGGGACCGCGCTCTGCCCTCTTAGAGAGGTAGGAGTGGTTTTCGTCCCTAGCTGGGAAGTTCGGGCCTCGGCTGCAGGGAATGAGAGGCGACTATGCACACTCGGCTCCCTGCCGCCGAGTCTGTCGAGGGCGCTGCGGCGAACAGTCTCTGGTCGCCCTCGGTGAACAGTTTCTGGCCGAGAGGCAGAGCTGCTGCTTTTGAGAGTTTCTGGCCGAGAGGTAGAAGATCCTTTGAAGAAGTGAGGGTTCTTTTTCCTCTCTCTTTCGGTCCTCCAGGTGTCCTCTTCCCACTCTTCCAGCTCCCTGAAGGAGGGAGGTTTCTCCCCTCTTGGTCGAGCTTCCTCCGCTGATGCCTGGTATGCGGAGGAGTTCGGTCACGAGGTGGAGGCATATTTTGTGCCCTCATTACTTCTATGAGCAACGCCAACGCTCTTGCCACTTCTTCCGAGCTGGGCCCCGTTAAAGTGGTCCTCGGCTGAGTGTGAGAGTGAGAGCGGATGGTCAAAGGTTGGCTTTGGGGCACTGATTGAGTCCTATGATCGGACTGGCTTCTGTTAGACCGAGGGGGACTCGGTCTATGATGAGATTGGCGAATTATGGGAGAAAGGGAATCCTCCCGGTATGATCCTCCCCCCGAACTGGCACCCTTAGAAGAGTTCCGGTCCCGCGAAGGTGATGGTGTAGGAGTCTTAGGCCTTTCGCCCGCTCCTTGACTAAGTCTCTTGTTCTTGCGGTTCTTAGCTATTGCTACCAAGATTTTTGCAAGATGATTTTGGTTGGCTTAAAGATTTTTTAAAAGTCTTCCCCACAAACGGCGCCAAATTGTTTCGGGTAAAAACAATGGGACCTTGTCGAAGTTCCAATTAGGTGGATGAGGACTAATCCGGTCCAAATGATGTTGGGCCGAAGGTTTCCTGCACAACAAACACACGTAAACTGGCCTCGGGGGTGGATCCGAGGAATACCCCTCCGATGCCGAAGTCAAACAGTGTTTAGAGAGAGAAAGCTATGCAAGAAAGTTAGGGCTGGCAAATGGATCAGGTCGGGTTGGGTTCGTGTTCGGGTCAACTGATTTCGGGTCAGCTACCCCTCAACCCGAACCTGATCCATTTAAGTTTTCGGGTTGAGAACCCCAACCTGAACCTGGTATTTTCGGGTTCGGGTCAACCCGAAAGTAACCTGAATTGACTTGATTTTTTTATTTGGGTTTAAATCAGGTCATTTTGACCTGAAAATGACCTGATAGTAGCCGGGTTTGGTTCAACCCGAATATAACCTGATTTTTAAATTAAGTTATTTAGCAAGTCTAATTAAAGATTAGATACAAAAATATAGTATACTAAATAAATAACAAATCAGCATTCAAAATCAATCAATGTTTTTGATTTTTTTTTTTACAAACTTTATACAACATAGTTCTCAAATAATGTACAATGTTGAAGCAAGCTGAAGCAAGTTGAAGCAGAGACTTGAAGAAAGCTGAAGCAGAGGCTATGTTTGTGGCGTGTAAGGATCCAAATCTGATAAAAACAATTTAAGCAAATATCAATAATAAAGTACTCAATCCCAACAATACAATAATATAACAAACACAAACATCAATTAAAATAAAAAATACAATACCATATAATTAAATTATGGTTTGAATAACAACTAAAACAACAAACAACATTAAAATTAGGCTTTGAATAGCAAAGAAAAACAACAACAACAGACATGCAAGATTCGTATCTAAACAACCAAAAAATCGTATAAAAGCAAAATTCAAAATAGCAATTACCTTGAAGGTTGAAGTGGTGAATCTTTAAACACTTAAATTATGAAGGAGAGGAAGATCTAAGGATGGGAAAAACCGAGAATAATTTATTTGGATTGGAGGTTTCAACTTTCAAGAGTTTAGAGTTGAAGAGAGAGAGGAGGAGGAGGAGAGAGCCTAAACGGTTGATTGTGTGAGGAGGAGGCATTAAGGATTTTAGGGTTTTAGATACTAGTTACATATTTGGGCTTGGGCTGAATTTTAATCCATCAGGGTTTTTTTTTTTTTTTATTTTTATTTTTATTTTTATTTTTTTTTATACCGTATAATGTTCGAGTTTATCAGGTCGGGTTCGGGTTGACCCGACCTGATTTTGACCTGAAATTTATTTCGGGTTAAGTGGGTCGTTTTCGGGTTGAGATTTTCAACCTTAACCTAACCCATTTAATTTTGGGTTCGGGTTCGTGTCGACCCATTTAAGTTTTCGGGTCGAAAAACTCAACCCTAACCCACTTTTTCGGGTCGGGTTCGGGTCGGGTTTTTGGATCGGGTCAGTTTTTGCCAGCCCTAAAGAAAGTTAATGCTTGAGGCTTTAATATGAATGAATGATAAATGAGGCCATTGAAGGCTTTTATACCTTGGCATGACAAAGGGAGGAGGATAATTGGACCGGAAATAGTCATGGGCTGACCATAACAATTTGGACCACTTGACCTCATGCTGACTTGGCTTAATGGAGGCTTGGGCCTTGACTTTGGAACATTGGATCATTTAATGACTAGGCCCAATTAGCTAAATTGGACCCAAACAACAAGTATTCGAAACTTTGTGAGATTGGCAGGTCTATTGTTAAAAAATGTCATGGCATTCCACTTGTTGTGAAGACTTTGGCGAGTTTATTAAGAAGTGTGAGGAACGAACAAGAATGGCAACGAATTAATGATATGGAAAGTTTTGCCGAATTGAAGCGACTTAATGTGTTACCACTATTAAAATTAAGTTATGATAAACTACTACCTCGCTTAAAACAATGTTTTGTTTACTTGTCATTGTACGTGAAGGATGCTTATTTGGATTCCCTTGATGTACCATATTTGTGGAGCGCACTTGGATTGTTGCCATTAGATAAGAGAAAGAAGGATTTTAATGGCTTGGGATACTCCTACTTAAGGGAACTGACATCAAAGTTCTTAGTTGAAGAATCAGGTCTACATTTGGTGGGTTTATGTTGCGAGAGTAAAATGCATGATCTAGCAGTAAACATTATGGCCGAAGAGTTAGCTGTTGTAACTTTGGATAATATGAAGGATTTAGACTTTGCTAGGCATATCGTATGGGCTATGAGGAAACTGAGAGTTTAAAAGAGGAACAATTTCCAAAAGAGCTTCTCAGAGCAAAGAAAGCCCGAACATTTCAATTTGGTTATGAAATGAAACAGCATGTAAGTATGTCCTTTCTAGAGGATATTATATCAAATCTCAGCTGCTTACGCATCTTGGAGGTCTTTGGTTTGAAGAGTTGCCGAAGTTGATCGGGAATCTGAAGCATTTGAGATATTTTGAGTTGTCATATAATCCAATCATTATATCACTTCCAAATACAATATGCAATTTATTGAATTTGGAAAGTTTTTACATCAATGGATGTGAGCAATTAAAAGAGCTACCAAGGGGCATACATCAATTGCAAAGCTTAAAGAATTTCACAATGACAACATGCCAAGAGAGCTTAGTTGACACCAAACTCAATAAATTAAGTTCCCTCCAATACTTTTCTATTCATTCATGTAAGAGCCTGATGTCGTTGTGGGACAATGATATTATCGGGCAGCTCACCTCCCTTAGATGCTTGAGCATCAAGGGTTGTCCAAATTTGACAAGTCTTCCAAACAATATGAAGTACCTTGTTGGCCTTCAAATGTTAGAAATAGTAAATTGTGAAAAGTTAGATATGAACGAGGGAGAGACCCTTCAAGACCTTCAAAGCCTCCAACAATGTGCACCAAATGGCATACAATGTGCTGGCAGCTTCTCTTCAATATCTCTGGATTGTAAATTGTCAAGGTATGGTAGAGCTTCCTGATTGGTTTCATTGTTTTACATCTCTTCAAGAAATTAAAATAGTAGATTGTCCAAATGTGTTGGGTTTGCCCAAATCATTTTGCCTTCTCAATTCTCTACAATATCTCAAAATTTCGGGATGCCCAAACTTATCAAAAAGATGTGCACCAAACGGAGAAGACTACTCTCTCATACAACACATTCCCACATTCAAGCTTGAAGGCGTTACTTTTACTCCAAATCAAAGCCACTGAAAAAGGTCTGATCTTTGTATAGTCTTTGATTTTCTCCAGATACATTTAAATTTTTTTACATAATAGCTTCTTTTCTTCCTAAATATAACCAACAACAAGGAGAAGGGAGGAGAATTACAAATTAATGAATTTACTTCAAGAGTATACACTATAACCATCATGTATTGATTTTTTTTTTTTTTTTTTTTTTGCAATTATCTTTCATACAGATTTTAGGACCACAGTTTTTCAACCTATTGGAACAACATTCTGGTCTGAATATTCAAGGCCTCTTAAATTGAGGGTTTTACATGTATCATTTTTTTTTCCCCATTGTACTTTGTTTACTTTGATTGTTTGTTGTAATCTTATCAACATTTGAGTTAATTGTTTTATACTGATAAAGTTGGAGTGTGAAACATGATTATACGGAGTATCTACCTATGTTTTATTAGAATAATTACACAAATAACCCATTAACTTGATAACTACCATCACATCAGGTTTTCAATCAAAATAAAAATTGTAAATCATTCATATACAAATCACTTGGCTACTCTGGTTTCCATAAATCAATTCTTATTTTATGTTTCTATAGTTCAGATTTTCAATACAAAGAGTAAAGAAGGCAACATTCATTATTCAAGTATCATTCTCGATTCTCAAACAATCAATCCACCCTCCTTGGAAATTGGAAGAGTTGAGAGGGACAACAAAACGATATATTGTGAGATTTGTGACATACCTTGTTACATCTAGGCAATAGAATCACAACTTCTGTTCACAAAATCACAGCTTGCTAGGCTATTGTCTCAGCAGATAGTATCGGTTCTACACAAGCATTTAATCAACAATTTGACATATCTACTCGCAGATACTGCTTTGCCCTGCATCAAGCTGATCTGGTTTTCAGACTCTGCATCAGTAAAATAGAAGCACGGGACGTTGGGGCAGTCTGATTCATAGAATACTGCACAAGAGAACAGCAGTTGGAATCAATTACTTGAGAGCAACTACTGTTCAAATTGCAGCTTAACTAATGTGGCAGCAAACAATACAAGTCATATAACAACTATATGTAGCTAACAAATATAAGTATATCATATCAGTGCAGCGGATGCAATTTTTTTTTTTTTTTTTGTCATGCATATTCAATAAGCAAGCAACAATGCAACATAAAACTAAGCATATTCCTTGATTGAGTATAACTTTTGTAGTGTTAAAATTAACCAACAATAAATTGAAATAGGTATAAGACCTTATTACAAGATGTTACAATCCTCAATGTCACTGCTGATCACTAAAATGGGTTCGAGATGATCATTAAATGACAGTTTTTCTAATTCTTCAATCATATCAAAATGGTTTCGAGATGGTTCATAGTTTTTGGGAAGATAGAAGGTAGTGATGCACCGACTTCATATGGTTTGTAGGGAATAAGGGATCCTTTATGTTCAGTAACGGATCTTGAAAAATAACTACAGAGTCGAATGTTTTGTCTCTCTTTTATGGTCTTATTAAAGTTCATAACATGGATGTTGTGTATATCATCCAAAGCAATGAGATCGGTTGCTCCTCCTCTAGGAACTAGTCAAGGCTTCCTAACCTGATTTTAAAAATTACAATAATCCAATGGTCATTTCTAAGAAAACCTAGTTCTTTGAACCAAGACTTGAATCTGTAAACAAAAAGGAAAATATTTACCAACTTGTATACCACTTGAGCATTAGATAAGTATTTTGCAGCTTTGCTCATGGGTAGTCACTTTGGTGAAATAATAATCAATAATTAAGGTAACTATACATTCAATCATGATTAGGACTATCATTTATTATATTCTAAGTGACAAATAATTGAGCATTATACAATACAAGATACAGGACCTGCAAGAGAACACGAAAGCAGTACACATTCAATCATGATTAGGACTATCATATATCTTGCTATTTAGTCAATGACTAAAGAGAACACGGAAGCACTAATCTAGCTTTATGTGCCACTATAAGATAATTTAATCTAATCATAAGCCTAATAGTGCTAAACCTCACACACAAAAGCCTAATTATTTATGCCACAATAGATAAAATGAAATCCAGTCTTCACATTCCATCTAAAAAGTTATAGGTAGGTAGGTACACCGTACACCCATCCCCAAAATAGGCAAGTGATGAGCATTTGCAAAAAAGAGCAAAAAAAGTTGCTCCCAATTAGAAGCAAAAAAAAAGCAATACGAAACTAACAATGCAAAATTATCAACTCTAGATTGCAATAAACAAAATTGTATTTCACCCAAAAGCATGTACTCCGTACTACACAAGTTGTGCATACGCCGCTTGTCTAGGTAAGTTTATATAATGTGAAGGGCTGGACTGCTGGAGGCTGTTCATATTCATATAGCTAAATCTTCCAGCCTAAGAATTTATCAAAATGGCACACCAAATTTACAATCAAAATGATCAACCAAAACACCTCAAAGATTCTTCAGTTGCAGCAGTCATGGTACCATTCCCAATGCAAGGCCATCTCAATGAAACTCTCCATCTATCCAACCTCATAGCCTCATATGGTATACCAGTTCATTTTGTTGGATCCACAACACACAATCACCAAGCTAAACTGCGCCTCCACGGTTGGGATCCCGAAAATACAAGTAAAATTCAGTTTCATGACTTGCAGCTCCCTCCTTTAACCTCAGTTACTCCCAAATTTGATCCCCACACCACATTCCCTGGGCATCTCCAACCACTTTTTGATGCTTCCTTTCATCTCCGTCAACCTGTATTCCAACTTCTACAAGAGCTCTCAACTAAGTTTAGGAGGATCATCATTATTCATGATACTTTAATTGCTACAGTTGTTCAAGATGTGAAATTAATCCCAAATGCTGAGTCATATGCCCTCCATAGTGTCTCTGCCTTCGCTATCTTTTTCTACATTTGGGAGTCGATAACTAACAAACCATTTCAGCTAGATTCTGATATCCCAAATAACATTCCCTCAAGTGAAGGCTGCTTTACACCAGAGTTTGCAGACTATGCAGCAAAGCAATACAAAGTATTAAACTTCGAGAGTGGAAGAATCTACAACACATGCAGACCAATAGAAGGTAGATATATGGACTTACTGGAAAAGCTACCCACAAACGCTAACAAGAAGCTTTTTGCGATCGGACCTTTAAATCCAGTGGAAGTAAAGGGTAGATACACTTACAACCGACATCAATGTCTCGAGTGGCTAGACAAACAAGAGAAGGATTCTGTAATATACATCTCTTTCGGAACATCAACATCAATGACAAAGGAGCAGATTATTGAGTTGGCAGTTGGGTTGGAAAGAAGTAGGCAAAAGTTTTTATGGGTTGTTAGAAGTGCTGATGAAGTAGAACTTTCTGCAGAAGGTGATGTGAAAAGGCCTCAACTACCAGAAGGTTATGAAAGCAGAATACAGGACAGGGGAATGGTGGTGAGAGACTGGGCACCTCAGCTTGAAGTTCTAGCGCACCCATCAACGGGAGGATTCATGAGTCACTGCGGCTGGAACTCATGCATGGAGAGCATCAGCATGGGAGTGCCGATTGCAGCATGGCCAATGCATTCTGATCAACCAAGGAACACAATTTTGGTAACACAAGTACAAAAATTTGGTATAGAAGTCAGAGATTGGGCACAAAGAAATGAGCTTGTAACATCAACTACAATAGAAAATGCAGTGAGAAAATTAATGATATCAAAGGAAGGTGAGGAGATGAGGAAACAAGCTGCAGAGCTCGGAGGCATTGTTCGAGGATCAAATGCTACAGGTGGATCTTCTCGCCTAGAAATGGATTCTTTCATCGCTCACATAACCAGATAATGGTGTAAAAAAGAGGATACATCCTAAGAAAATCTTGGATAGCTGGAAACATAATTGAAGATATGATCGCAAACAAATCAATCAGTGAAATGTACTAAAATAATAAATGAACTTTGCCTAGCTAGGATCTAGAGTTACTGATGTATAAGTTTGTATGATACAAAAAACATGATATCATTAGTCTCAGGTATGATACCAATCTTGAAATTCATGGAGATGTGAGTACTAAGAATTGACCAATAATCAGGCCTCTGAGCCTTTCTGCTATTACAATTAACAAGGCAACCTGCAACAACCTTCTGAGTCTCCCTTGGGATGATATAGATCACAACCCTAAATTTTTATTTTGGTCACTTTCCTAGTATAAACCCCCTTGCTAGTTCTGGTGATTAAGATTGCCTGTGCTAACATAGATACTAGAGAAAGCCTAGAGACAATGATGATCCCTACCATAATTTTATATGATGAAAAGCAATTTTATGTAGCACTTTCATATAAAGTTCTGTTTATGTATGTAAATACTTGTTAACTTGGTTCCAAGCTACCATACTTCTGTCATTTTAAGTTACATTTGACTGGTCAAATCAATCACAACGGAAACAAAACACAATCCACATCGAAAGCATTAAAAATTCATCCTTCACAAGTCAGAAAGTTTGGCTTTCCTTTCTACAGAGCTAACAAGTGTATTTCACTATATTATTCCAGGACTACCCAATCTATTTGTTATACTCCTGCTCAATAGTCAATATAATGGTCTCCTTGTATCTCCATTATCTTCATAGCCTAAAAGTTGTCATGGACTATAACTACTTTGTAATTTAGATATCAGGGGAAAAAAAAAATCTCCTTGTTAAGGCATTGGACCACAATATTTGTATCTCCAGTCCTCATCTTACCCACAATTTGTCAAAAACAAGATAAATACAGAACAACCCTACACAAAAAGGGTCAGCTTCCACAAGAAATCCCAAAGATTCCAAAATAGAATAAGTATCTTATGATACTTATATATACACTAGAAACCAGACTTTTTCTCATATAAATTTAGTACCTTTAAAAAATAAAATAATGTAAAAACAAAATAATAAATAAATAAATGGAAGAAAAAAAAAATCTACACACAAACACATACACATGCAGACACAATATATCACATACCAGATACCACATTTTAAGGAGAGAAACTTTACCTTGTTTTCATCCCAATAGACTAGTGGAACAAGCATTTTTAGATAAGCCATACAAGGTCCTGTCCCCAAAATATATAAACAAACATATATTTAAACAAAGGATTTTTTTCCCCCTTATATCTTTAAGGTTTTAATGGCTATCAAGATCCATCTAAAGACATCCTAAAATTTATGCAATGGAAAGACAAAAAGGCTGTCAAACTGGCCTTAAACAACCTCAAATAGTTGTGGTGATGGTTCCCTTCCCAGCTCATGGCCATATCAATCAGCTCCTCCACCTCTCCCGTCTTATAGCCTCCTATGGCATACCGGTTCACTTTGCTGGATCAACTGTGCACAATAGCCAAGTGAAGCTCCGTGTCCATGGTTGGGACTTGGAAAGTTCAGGTAACATCTATTTCCATGACTTCCAACTTCCTACCCTCAGCTCATTTTCCCCTAAAAACAATGCCTGAATCAAATTTCCAAAGCATCTCCAACCACTTTCTGATGCTTGTTCACATCTCCGTCAACCTGTGTTTCAACTTTTACAAGAACTTTCATCTAAGTTTAGGAGAATAATTATCATTCATGATAACCTGATGGCCTCCGTAGTGCAAGATGTTAAATTGATCCCAAATGCCGAATCTTATACTTTTCTATCAGTATCTGCTTTTACCATCTTCTTTAATAAATGGGAGTCCATTATAGAAAAACCTTTTGAATTAGATTCTGATGTTCCAAGATACATCCCTTCTAGAGAAGGGAGCTTCACACCAGAGTTTGAGAAATTTATAATAAATCAACACAAGCTTTTGGAATTTGAATCTGGAAGACTTTTTAATACATGCAGATTGATAGAAGGTAGATACATGGAACTATTGTCAAAACTATCAACGAATGTTAACAAGAAACTGTTTTCTATTGGACCTTTCAATCCGGTGGAAGCAAAAGAAAAAACGAACACTTGTAGGCCTGGATGCCTTGAGTGGCTAGACAAGCAGGAGATAGAATCTGTGGTATATGTTTCTTTTGGAACATTAACATCTATGGCTGATGAGCAGGTCAAAGAGTTGGCAACAGGATTGGAAAGAAGTGGGCAAAAGTTTATATGGGTCCTTAGAGATGCTGATAAAGGCGATTTATTTGAAGAAGATGAGGCAAAAACACTTCAGCTGCCAGAAGGATATGAAAAAACAGTGATAAATAGGGGAATTATTGTGAGAGGCTGGGCACCTCAGCTTGAGATCCTAGCCCATCCAGCAACAGGTGGGTTCCTCACTGTGGGTGGAACTCATGCTTGGAGAGCATAACCATGGGAGTGCCAATTGCAGCATGGCCAATGCATTCTGACCAACCCAGAAACAGCATTTTGATAACAGAAGTCCTACGGATTGGTTTGTTAATCAGGGCTTGGGAGCACAGAGCTGAGCTAGTAACATCAACTGTAGTTGAGAACACAGTAAGAAAATTGATGAAATCGGAAGAAGGAAAAGAGATGAGGGAAAGGGCTGCAGAACTAGGCAGAGCTGTTCGAGCCTCAGTAGCAGATGATGGAAGTTCTCAATTGGAAATGGATTCTTTCATTGCTCATATTAGCAGATGAAAAAAAAAAATTCACAGCACAAAGGCACAAGTAGGGTAAGCACCCTATAATCATTGTTCCTTTCGGTATTATGGTCTTGTTGTGTATTGAACACTATCAAATCAATACACCAGAGCATAAGTTGCACATTCATCTTGCACAAAACTGCAATTGTAGTACTGGCATATTCAAGTCTAAGAAGGTCTAATAGGATTAAAAGAGCCTAATTGACATAGACTTCTTATGACCAGAGAATTGGTCAGAAACAAGCACAGTATCAGACTAAAATAATTCCTCGTATTATACATATGACACCTTTGCACATGGAATTCCCATGTGCGTGTATCCCCTACCCCTGGCAAGCTACCTATTTCAAGTTTGCAATCGCAGGGAAGCAAACATGTCAATAGATCAATAAGCGTTTACTTATGTTTCCACAAAGTTTACAACCCAACAACATCATTCTTTCAGGAATAGAAATCACAAGATAAAACTTCAAAAACAATTATGGTAAATAACATGAGTAGAGAGCTTACTTATCTTCCAGCTACATTTTGTTACTCAAACTCAGCTACCAAAATGTAGAGCACTGAAACATGTCCAAGTGTCATACTCAAAGATTCTATGAAGATGTTGCATTTTCATCTCGAAATTTCAAGGGCCCTCCATAGTCATGTCAAAGTGTCTAGTATCAGAAACAAGCAAATAATGTAACTCTTGCGTACCTGTATAAGAACAGCTACTGACTTAGATCGTGAAGTATCACTAGCTGTCAATATCATCAAGAAGGGCAGGAAGCAGCAATTTTACAGCATGTTTCTTCTGAAGCAATATTACGATTTGGCTTTACAGAAATGAGAGAAGTTTAGTAACAAATGCAAACCTCCTAAACTATCATTCAAGAAGATAAGGTGCCCTGTAGGCTGTCAATTGTAGGTATCTCCACTTCTAATGAATTGAGAGAGATGCTATAATTGAAATTCTCATGTAGTGATTGGTTTTTAGTAAAATTTACTAAATGCCCAAAAATAACAATTACTACTTTCTGTTAGATCGAAGATTTTAGTTATTTTAATTCTGAGGCACAACCAGCAAATTAACTATTAGAACTCTCAACATCAAAGACACTTGCTAAGCTGTTTACAATTTTCTTCTATATCAACATGTTCTAACTATTTTCATCCTATTAGACATAGGAACAACTTCCTGATTCGCGTTTCTGCACCAAAACAGTCACCATGTGGTCCATATCAGACAGCTTAGTAGCTCCTAACAAGCTCATCTTTGTTACACATAGTACATTGCTCAAAAACATTCTTTCACAACCAAACTTGACAGCTATATACATTATTATTACTTGTATTAGTCTAAAATCCTATACCTTTACCTTCGATAATTACATCAAGCATTCAAGCACAATAATGGTAACAGGCTAAAACTGAATTTAGCAGATGACCGCGTAAATGATGGATGAATTTATGCAGGAAATAACAACAAACTGCTCTAACACATCTCCATTGCTATAATCTCAACAATTGTTCATACAATACCAAGTAATCATTGAAAAACGCCCAATTAACTTAATCTTGTCCCATTACTAGATTACCCTACAACTCAATAGTCAATACATAGTGAATCAGTAATTGATGTATACCTAGATCATCAAATTATAAATTTACGTAATCAGCTATATTAAGCAATTCAATATCCCATTTTAAAAAAGAAAAAATGGGTAATGCTTGATTTCAATTGTATGAATGATTTCTTAACAATTTCTTCAAAATATTAATTTCAGGCTGTAGAATTCTGTAATTTTATTACCTCATAAAATTCTCAAAATTACAAACTCAAACAACTTCTAATCTCAAATCATTTTAATAATAATTGAACTTATATGAAAACAACAATTGAATAAGAAAATCATAAATGTTCAAGGAAATGCAATTAAATAAAGAAGAAATTACGGAAACTGTAAGACTTACATTTCATTGAAACTTCCTAAAAGTGCAGAAAATAAAATTAATGTGGTCAAAGGACAAAAGCTGGCGTTATTGGACTGAGATCCAGTTAGTTTGTGTACAGTACAGTATTTGATGTGGATCTGTCTCTACACTTCTACAATATTGCCACCCGATTCAAGTTTTTTTTTTTTTTAAAAAGCCACAAGGACGGAAATGAGAATCAATCATAGGATCTACTAAAATCAAGAAAGCTCTAATCACTTAAGTTATCCGTCACTATCATGATTCACGTTAATTTATTTTAGACTACTAATATTAGGGCCACTATATTAAGATCTTATTTGACAATTGGTTAATTGGTTGCTGGCGATTTAATTTGGCTTGTTTGACTAGTTGTTAACATTGTTGTTTGTACGGACGGTTGATCATTGGTTGTATCTAAATGTGTTCGGTAAAATCAGTTGTTAGTCGTTGGCTGTAAATGACCCGTAAAATTGTGTTGATATTATTCTTGGGTCAAGTCCAATATTTTGAGGAAATAATTTAGATATAGTGTTTAATGGTACTCAACTCCATCTATCTTCTCATTTTAGTTGACTTTATTAATTATCTTATTTCATATGCTACTCTGTATATATGATTGCACAAGATATAATAATTATATAATCAATTATCTTGGATCATTACTTATCACTGCAATATGAGACTTACATTTACGAGATCAATTTATTACTAAATTTATTGATATATGATCTTAATTTTAAGTAATTTTTGGGTCATTAGTTCATCACTTATCAGTTATCACTACGATATGAGACTTACGTAAACGATATTAGTTTATTACTAAATTAATTAATATACAATCTTAATTTTAAGTAATTTGATATTTTGATAGTATTACAACACGGCTTGAGATAAATATATAATTTTATTAACAGAATAATTGTATGATGAATAATTAGAAGTAAGGTTTTATTAGAGGTTGTTACTAATCTATCACTTTTTTTTTTTAATTTTATTGTAGTAGTTGATGCATGCTTTCCGGATAATATGTCGTTAACAACACTGCATACTAACAGGCACACATAATCCAACAAAATAAAGGTTGCATAATGACTCTTGGTGTTATTACTCAAAATGATACACTAATTAACTAGATACGAGGGAATATTTCCATGTGCTTATTGTCATGCGGTATTTGATTTGTATTTGTAGCGTAAAAGGCTACACATACAATTGTTGTATTAAAATATATTGATGATCAAATGCGTGCACTATATTTAGGGCGTGTTCAGCGCTAGCTTTTGAGTAGCTTTTAGTGGTTTGACCAAGTCAAACCACTACTCAATAAAAAATGTGAGTGTTTGGTAAAGTAATGGTTCCAGTAGCTTTTAGTGGTGGAGGTAGCTTTTATTAAAAGCTAGGATTATTAGCTTTTGAAGTTAGAGGTAGCTTTTGAAGTAGCTTTTGAAAATTTAATGTATAGTTTTAAAAATAAAATATTGATTCTTAAATGTAACAGCTAGTCAACCACTACTTTACCGAACAATCATACCTAAATTATCTTTTTTCACAGCTAACAGCTTGTTGACAGCTAACAGCTATCTCCACAGCTACAGCTACCTTCACAGCTATATTTTGCCGAACATGCCCTTAAGGTCTTGTAAAGCTGATTTTCAAAAAACAATGTAGTTACAATATTACATTAAGAAGATATTTAATTAAATGAGTCAAAGTTTACTCATTTCTTTTGATGTATTAAAATCAAAAGATTTAAAACATTAGCTTTTTATTTGTTTTTAAGACGTGCGAATCGATTAACCAACTTAATGCATGTTCCCATGAGGACCATGACGCAGCAAGTGATTACACAAATACAAATTATTAGAATTTACAACAATCACGTATTCACGTACCAATAAAAAAAACACAAATTAAACAACTTGCATCTTCACAATTATCATGATTTTGTAACATTATAAAAACCAGCATTATTAATTCTACAAAATTAAACATCTTAACAAAAAAATATAATGGAAGGCCTAAACAACCACAATGAACAACACCCCAAAGTGGTAGTAGTAATGGTGCCAACACCGGCACAAGGCCATCTAAACCAACTCCTCCACCTCTCTCACCTCATCACCACCTATGGAATCCCGGTCCATTACGCCGGCTCCTCCACCCACAACCGCCAAGCAAAGGCCCGACTCCAAGGTTGGGACCCCAAAACTCTAACAAAAATCCAATTTCATGACTTCCATCTCCCTCTTTATAACCCATCCCCTCCAAACATTGACCTCAATGACACTAGCTCTTTCCCTCAACACCTCGTACCCCTTTTCGAGGCCTCGACTCATCTCCGCCACCCCGTTCTCAACTCCTACAACAACTCTCGAAAGATTTCGATAGAGTCGTAGTCATACATGACATTATCATGGCTTATGTAATACAAGATGTTAAACATCTCCCAAATGCGGAACTCTACACTTTCAACCCAATATCCGCCTTTGCAACATTCCTACAAACTTGGGGAACCATACCAGAAGAGCATAAGCCGTTTCGGCTACATTCGAGTGATGTTCCGGATCATATACCTGAAGATGAATACATGTTTATGTCACCAGAAATGATAGAGTTTATAGGAAAACAGTTTAAGCTCTTGGGGTTGAAGTCGGGTTGGATCTACAACACGTCGAGAGTGATCGAGGGAAGGTATGTTGAATTAATAGAGACTTTACATTCGATGAAGGAAGATGTAAAACATTTTGCCTTAGGACCTTTTAATCCGGTGGAAATCGAAACAAAAAGCGTCGAAAAAAGACATTACTCCTTAGAATGGTTGGATGAACAAGTGAAAAACTCGGTGATTTACGTGTCTTTTGGTTCGACAGTGTCAATGAAGGATGATCAGATTGATGAGCTTGCAAAAGGGTTGGAAAAATCTGGTGTAAAGTTCATATGGGTGCTAAGAGGGGCCGATCCGAACGATGTTTTTAAGGAAGGTGATGAAGTTATAAGGCCTAATCTTTTAGAAGGGTATGAAGAAAGAGTTAAAGGTAGGGGAATGGTGGTTAGAGATTGGGCGCCGCAGCTAGAAATCTTGGCTCATTCATCAGTTGGCGGGTTCATGAGTCATTGTGGTTGGAATTCATGTATGGAAAGTATTAGTATGGGTGTGCCAATTGCGGCCTGGCCTATGCACTCGGATCAACCAAGGAATGCGGTTTTGATAAGCGAGGTGCTAAGAATTGGTTTGGTAGTGAGGAAATGGTCACGCGGTAGTGAGCTTGTGATGTCGAGTACGATAGAGAATGTAATGAAAACATTGATGACTTCGGAGAAAGGAAAAGAGATGAAGGAAAGGGCTGCAAAATTAAGTGAAGAAGTTAAAGGATCAGTTGCTAAAAGTGGTGTTTCTTGTTTAGAAAGGGATGTTTTCATAGCATATATTACCCGATGATACCAACTCTTTTTAATCAATCTCACTACAAAGACACAATTAATGAGTCGGGTTTAAGTCGGGTCATTTTAAATTAAATTCAAAACAAGTTAATTTTTCATATATTTCAGTTTGGGTCTTTTTGAGGCCGAGTTTGATTCAATTTTACAATATACTATTTCATGTCAATTCAAAGGTCAAATTAAAACGGAAACGATTATTAGTTATAAGAACGTTGAATTTTCAATTTGGGATTTGATATGGTTTTGTATGATACTGTGTTGAGCTGGTTAATTGCACATTGAATTAAAACAACTTGAACTATTTGTGTAAGTGCAAAGTAAATTTATGTATCATTCACAAGTAGTATTGATGTGATTGATTATTTCTAAATCATAAAATGTACATTTACATTTAAATTTATATTATTTGAATCATTCAACAGCTAGTGATTTGTTAATATAAGCCTAACAATAATAATAATTATAGGTCCCTTAGTCTCTAAAATAAAATAAAGTAACAAAAATCATTTCGTCAGGAATTGACGGAGCTGAAATTTCATTGTAACACTTATTCTACATCTCTAATTGATTTTCATATCAAAAGATATTTTGGTATATGGGAGGAAAGGAATATTAATTTAAAAGTTAGACTATAATTTAAATCGTAAAACACAATCAATCTCATTATTGTATTAAAAAATATTCAGATAAGTCATTATCTCAAATACATACCCGGCTGTGGCTCCGTGGCTTAAGGATCCACAATCAAAACTTAATAAAAAATATATATTGCTATTAAATGGGGAATATATACTTGGCATATGACTAAATCATCAAAATGTTATTATTGAAATGAGCTTGAATCTAATTTGACATTTATACATGAACAAAGTATAATCAGGATCTATCAGGAATGACTAACGTAACGTAACATAGCAAACACAACTACACAAGGATCATTGAATTTTTTATGATATTTTTTATGATACTAAATTGACAGGAAACTAATTAAGTAGAGTTCTTTAATATCGACATCAATGATGAAATGAGCTTGAATCTAATTTGACATTTATACATGAACAAAGTATAATCAAGAATATGTTTAAAACTCTATCAGGAATTACTAACGTAACGTAACAAAGCAAACACAACTACACAAGGATCATTGAATTTTTTATGATATTTTTTATGATACTAAATTGACAGGAAACTAATTAAGTAGACTTCTTTAATATCGACATCAATGAAAATCGAACATATAAATTTGATTAAGTGATTAGTTCATGTTGCACATTTTAGTCAAAAACAGTTAAAACACCAAGCTATTGCATATAGTTTTTTGAAGTCCGTAGTAATTTAGTTTGATTAGTTATTAGAGAATTGCTAAATACCGCCAACATTTTTTATCAAACCGCCAACAAAAGTGATGAAGGGACAAAACTACCCTTACTCATCCTCACTTTGCTTTCTCTCTCTTAAGTGCATCAATCCTCAAACTCCACCGTCAACCACCACAAAAGCATCCATCATTGCCACCATCACTCACGCCTCCACAACCACCACCATGCCACCATGACCACAACCACCACCATCACTGCCCGCAACCTCCAAGGGGTACCAGTTTTTTTGTTTAATTTTTTTTTTTGTTGCCGAAATTCCCAAAGAACCAGCAGCAA